CTTGTGGAAGCCATTTAGGAGTAAATTTTTCGAAAGATTGATATCTTGCTTGCACGTGTGGTCCACATCATCTTGATTTTGTGATTGTTTTGAGATTCAGTCTAGGATTCTACACTAGCACAGGCGCACACTAGTATTCATAGTGAAAAGGGGTACATGCTTTGTTGATTATTGAATTGGTTATATCCTAATTGAGCTAGTAGTGCATTGAAAGTTTTCATTCTTGATAAAGGTGGATAACAACCCCTTTTCACTAAGTAGCGTGGATTCTAGCCTCATCGAGCACTGAACTTCTCGCGCCGAAAGGTGGAGGGCCCAAACTCTAGGTTAATACTTGAACTTGCTTACAAAAAAAAAAAAAAAAAAGCAAAAGCAAAAGTAATAAAAAGTGAGGACTTCTCTCAAAAGGTGAGAAGTGGGAAATGATTAGATGGAGGTTATCTTGATTTGTAGCCTAGTTGATTTGAGCTTGTAAGTCCGTAGGGGTGTTTAAACACCTAGTGCCCTAAAGCCGTCTGGTTTGGGAGTCATTGACCTAACGCTCGACCTTATGAATCGCTAGAAAGCTTAAGAGATCAACACATTGCACTACGCTTCCATATTTGATCTTTTAAAAAAAAAAAAAAAAAATTTGAGTGAAAAAAATAAGCGCACCTAAAACAATAAACTTTAATAAAAGGTCCACTTTTTATCTTGATGATCGGTACTAGATTTGTGTGCTAGTTTGAGGGTAAGGATGTGATTAATTCTTTAGTTGGCTTAGATAGCAACATATTTGATGCCGGTCCACTCAAAAAGGATCCTAGAGTTGTTATGATTTGCATGATCATTGTCTTGATGTGTGGAGGACCATATTTGTTTGCTTGATGTTTAGATTTTGGGAGATTGCTTGGAAAAGGGTTGAAAAATTACGTACTTGAGGTAGTTTTCTCCCAATACTTGTTTGCAATATTGGTGCCTCTTTTGAAAGAATGAGCTTAATGTTTATGGGTATCATTTCTGGAAACCCTCACGAGACTTCACTCGTCCACTAGGAGTAACCTAGGGGTTTAAAAGGCTTGTTGCATATGCTAAATGCAATCGTGTTCCCTACGAAAATGGCATTATTCATTTATTGTTTTCAAGTTATAGTTGTTTAGTTGTTTATTTCATTTCTTTACTTCATAGTTCATTGCTAGGGACTAGCAATATTTAAGTTGGGAGGTGTGATGAGCGCTGAAAAGTACACTTTTAAACCCCTTAAGTTTGAGTATTCTAGGACCTTTATCTATCTTATTTACCCGTTTTAGTACTTATTTGTGTTTTTGTCTATTTCAGGTCAATAATATTAAAATGGGCTAAAAATGGTTTCTTAAGGCCTTTTTGGAATCAAACTAAGTCTTGGAAAGGATTCGGAGTAGAAGGAGGCTGATTTGGAGCAAAAAGAGGCTGATCCTGAAAAGCTACCAAGTGAGATTGATCGTGAGATCGATCAGAAAAGTGAGATCGATCAAAGTCTGATCGATCGAACTTTTCTCTGATCGATCGAATTTTTCTCTGATCGATCTAACTTTTTCTCTGAACGATCCAACTTCTCTGATCGATCCAACTTTTTCTCTGATCGATCGAACACTGCTGGCAGTGAGCTGTCTTATTCCGTGCGCGCCCAAAAGTCCACCTATCACATAGTACGGGATTAGATATTTTTGGAGCAATATTCCTGACTTAGTGACTAAGAAAAGGACCTTCTATATAAAGGGAAGTAACCTATTTGTAAAGGAGCTTTTTATCATTTTATTTTTTACATTATATTTTTTATTTCTCTCTCTAGCAAAGTTAGAGATTAGGGTTAGAAGAAAAGGGGGAAGTGGAGGCACATCTCAAGATCCATCTCTAGACCACTCTCTCTCTCTCTTCATCTCTAAAGCTTCAAAGAAGAAGAAGAAGAAGAGGAAGAAGAAGATGGAGCCATATTTTGAGCTTGATTCCATGACCACATCTTCCTCCTCTATGATTGGCTAGATCTATACTTAGGGCTTGGATGAGCCCTAAGTCTTGTGTAATCTAAACCCTTGTATTTCTATTTTTGGGGATTTATATATATTGTTGTGATTAGTGTTCTAACCTTGTGAATTTAATGAATCTTGGTATATTTATATGATTTCTATGGTTTAATTCTTCCTATTAATTCTCAAGTTTATTTACATGTCTATGTGTGATTAAATTAGGAATTATTTCTTACATGATTCACATGGATTAATTCTTTCTATTGATTCTCTATTTGATTACATGTTGTCTTATGTGTGATTATTTGGGAATTAATCTCTACACTAGATTCTCTATGTTGGTTGCATGTCTATGTGTGATTAATTAAGGATTTAGTGATGGCTAAGCATAGGTTTTCATTGAATGGGTTTGTTAATTAATTAGATGGTCTATACTTATGTTTGATGGGTTGTTCTACAATTTAATTCATGCTTGTAGGTAGGTAGACAATCTATGATTGCTTAGATATTTCATGGCTTATTATTGCAAATTCCATGATTCTCTAGATTGATGTGTGCTACAATTGTTGCTACCTAGATGAGTCATGCTTAAATTAGATGGGTTTTGCTACAATTAGTTTAGGTAAGACAATTCATGCTTAAATTAGATGGTCCATGCTTAATATTGCAATTAGTAGTCGCATTTTGTTCACAACAATGTATTCCCTATTAATGGAAAGCAAGTGGTTAATTACATGAGCTTAGTGGTGATTCCAACACCCTAAGTCCTCTCTTCATATCTCTTAAATCCCTATCTCTACTTAGTTTATTTTAATTGTATTTTCATTAATTGAAGTAGTTTAATCATCTCATCAAATCTCTTTTGCAATCTTTTGATACGCTAGCGTCGAAGTTAAATTCCAACACGTATAATCTCTTGGGACGATCCCTTCTCACTCATACTACATAGTATAGGTGTTAAGCGGTTTATAAATTTAAAGTATGATGCCCACTTGACACTAATTTCCAAACTCAAAGTGTTATGCATTATTTTGTGCACATGCTCGGGTCGCATCATGGATCATCAAACAATAAGTATGGATTGTCCTCCCATTTAACACTACACTGCAACTACACTACATCTATATTACTAGCATGAAAATAAACTAGGGGAGAGGCAAAATCCATCAAGGAATAAGTATGAACCATCAAGAAAATTACAAGAAAATTCCATTAAGTACTATGTTTTGACAATTTCTAAATCTATAGCATCAATACATATAGACATGCATCAATAATACAAAATCTAGAGACAAACACATGAACATCTATTCTAACATGCATAGACATATGGATAGAATGAAATGATCAATTGAAAGCATTTAACCACATAAATCGTTGAACAATCAAGATCTATATATATCAAAGTGTCAAAACATTAATTATAATACTAATCCCTCAATAATACACAAGATTAAGATATAGAAAGTATGCTTGGGGCTAACTCTAGCCCCAAGAGGATGTCTAACCACTCATGGTGATATTGCTCCAACCCTCAAGGGCTAACTCCATGGTTGAGATTTGCTCTTTGGATGATGACGAGTCTCCAGTGTCTCTAGCCTCCTCCTCTTTTCTTCCTCCCTAAAGCTTGCCTCCTTTGAGAATAATCCCTAAAATTGTATTTGTCTCAAAAAGTGCATCATATTCCTTTTATAGGTAGGTCAAGTGACACACAAAATGAACTGGGGTCGTGTAAAGAATATTCTCTAATGATTGGATAGAGGACAGATTGAACAAGCTTGCTTTTTAACTTTTTCGCATTGGAGGAAGTTCGATCGATTGAACCTTGGACTTGGATCGATCGAACTTGGCTGAGATCTATCGAACTGAGGCTGGATCGATCCAACTAGTTGAGCTTCTTAAGAAAAAAACAAATCCGAGATATTTTGGGAGATATTTTTAAGAAAAGGACAAAAGTGGTTAGTGGGTAATACAGCTGTGGATAAGATCAATCATTTGAATAAGGACAAAAGTGTTCGACCGATCGAAGGGTAGTGTTGGATTGATCGAACTTTGGACTTTCTGCTTTGGATCAAGGTTTGGATCTATTTTGAAGTACTGAGATCGATCAGTGTTCGATCGATCGAACCTTGAAGTTGGATCGATCGAACCTTGAAGTTGGATCGATCGAACTTTGCTGCTTCCCACCTTTGGCTTCATTTGCTTATTTCTTTTTCCACTTTGCTCATTTATTTGTTTAATCCCAGAATTGCTTTAATTAAGCTCTTATTTGGCTGAGTTAGCTTATTTTCGGGATAAGTGCCTAAAAATAGAAATAATTCGAAATCAATCTAAAACGATAAAGTAAGATAAATAAAGGTACTAGAATGCCTAAGCTTAAGGGGTTTAAATACGCACTTTTCAGCGCTCATCACTTTTCTACACCCTTAACAAGTAACTAATGAGGGAAATGTGTGTTACAATATTGATGTATGTTAGGGTTTGGTTGATTCAATTAGTAAAGGTGATCAATTAAGCATACATTGTCTAATCAACATGTGAAAAGCACAATATATCTAATAATTAAGTATATATTGTCTAAATAGCATGTGAAAAGTACAATATATCTAGCAAGTCATTAATCCTTTCATTAAGCTCACAAACCAAATACACTACAAAGTTAGAGACATATGCTACTTGCATTCAAAAGTATGGAACATCAAACAACAAGCATAGATTGTCCTCCCATCTAACAACTATGCTACCACTACACTACAATTAAGCTAATGACATGAAATTAAATTAATTAAGCTAAGGGAGAGGCACAATCCATCAAAAAATAAGCATTGACCATCTAGAAAATCACAAGAGCATTCTTTTAAGCACTATGTTTTGACAATCTCTAGATTTATAGTATTGATACACAGACATGCATCAATAACACAAGAAATAGAGACAAACACATGAACATCTATTCTAGCATACATAGACATATGGATAGAATGAAATGATCAATTGGAAGCATTAATCCACATAAATCATTGAATAAGCAAGATATATATATAAAAGTGCAAAACATGTATTACAACACTAATCCCTCAATAATACACAAAAGCAAGATGTAGAAAGCATGCTTGGGGCTAACTCTAGCCCCAAGAGGATGTCTAACCACTCATGGTAGTGCTTCTCCAACCTTCAAGGGCTAACTTTATGGTAGAGATTTGTTCCTTAGTTGATGAAGAGTCTCCAATGGTGTCTCTAGCCTCCTCCTCCTCTAAGCTTGCTCTCCAAGAGATCTACAAGGTATGAGATGGTATGATGTGGTATTAGGTCCTCCTCTTATAAAAAGCAATCCTTATCCTTATATAGGTAAGTCAAATGGCACCCAAAATGAGCTGGGGTCGTGTATACAATATTCCCCAATGATTGGATAAATGACAACTTTCAATGAGCTGAAAATTTAACTTTTTAGCACGGAGGAAGTTCGATCGATCGAACCTTGGACTTGGATCGATCGAACATGGCTGAGATCTATCAAACTTAGGCTGGATCGATCTTCATTGGTGGTACTTTTTGAATTAAGACAAATCTGAGATATTTTGAAGATATTTTTGGGAAAATGACAAAAGTGGTTAGTAGGGTGATACAACTAGATAAGATCAATCATTTAGATAAGAACAAAGCAGTTCGATCGATCGAAAAATGATGTTGGATCGATCGAACTTTTGAGTTCTCTGAAAATGTCATCATGGCTCTGATCCATCTTGAAGTGCTGAGATCGATCATATTGGATCGATCGAACTTTAATCTGAGATCGATCGAAGATGTTGATTTCTACCTTTTTCTTCCTTTTGCTTCCACTTGGCTCATTTCTTTGATTTATCCCAAAATTGCTTCATTTCTGCTCTTATTTGGCTGAGTTAGCTTATTTTCGGGATAAGTGCCTGAAAATGGAAATAATACGAAATCAATCTATAATGGTAAAGTAAGATAGATAAAGGTACCAGAATGCTTAAGCTTAAAGGGTTTAAATACGCACTTTTCAGCGCTCGTCAATACACTAGCTTACCTTTTAACCAAAAAAAACTTATAACAAGGCATAAGCTTTAAAATGGGAAAATGAGCCTTTAGTACATTTCATACCATTGAATCCTGCACTGGTTTGTATGCTTATATAGTTAAATCTTATATGACTATTTCATTACTTCTTTTTTTAAAAAAAAAAAAAACTTTAATAAGGACACATATTTTGTGTTGCAAACTTTGAACCCTTTCTATCTTGGGCTTCTTCCATTAATAACTTTACATGAATTCAGTGCCTACAAATAAACTACCTCATCAGGGGTTACAATTTTTTTTTTCCTTTTCCTGACTGTATAAGGACGAACTACACACTATTAGCCTTGGCTTGTAGCAGAAATTACTTGTAAACAAATAAAAGGTGTTTAAATAGAATACAAGAGAAGCTAATGTAAGCTTTATGACCTACTCCTTCCTTTCAAGTAAAACAAAGAATTATAAATTTGATAGGAATGAACTGTAGAGTAGAAAAAAGTGGCAATTGTTATTAGAATTTCAACACTAAGCAATTTCCTAGCATATTCTCACATTATAGACCTTACAAATAAATAAATAAATAATTATTTTTCTTAGCAAACTGGAATATGAAAAGATTGTTTCCTTCCCGGAATTAGAACTCAATAGAACATGCATAAATCTATATGATTTATAAGACTATGTAATGCCAATCATCATAAAAGAGAATAGTAAATACATGTTATTGAATATTTAGAAAGAATTAGCAAAACTTGAATATATCAAGAATACAAATGGGACAGGTCAACAAATTAGGAATATGTATTGTCCATCTGAATATATTATAAAAGCTTTAGAAGAGACAATTATCTGGAAATGGCTATGATACAATCCAACTATCATAGATCAAAGCACAGTTCTACGACATTTCAACATTTCAATTGCTTGTATCATTTACAAGTCATTGGCCTCAAATAGTGAACACACATACTATAGAATTACATTCCAACATCAAGAGTAACAGACCAACTCATCAAATTCTTTGACAGATATGTTATAGACTTATAATTGACATTACAAATACAATTATAGCTAGGTAAAGGAGAACGCCACAGGAATGAAAGTGAGTTCAATTCATAAAATTTCATGTCATTTTAACCAAAATGAGTCCCTCGATAACATTTCCACCTATTGAGAAGTAAAAAGAATAGCAACCTTAACTCCAATAGATGGAAATGGAATGACATATAAAGAAAAATGGGAGCCCTAACTCCCTAATTTTTCTCACTTGTAAATTTTTAATTTTTAAAATGGAGAGAAAAAAAAAAAAAAATCAAACACAACTGAAATACGAAAAGAAAAAATACAACCAACCAAATCAAACCCAGATCTAAAGGGTTAAAAACCACATAAAACCCCACAAATCAAACAATTTCAAACCAACCAACCAACCAAATCCATCCATAGAACCAAATTCACCCAAACAAATCAAATAAAACTAACCCAATCCATCCAATCAATACAAATAATCAATACTCAACCCAAATCAGAGTGTGAACAACCATAAATCGAAAACCCATAAATCTAAGAGAGAAAAATAGAAAGACAAAATTTTACCCGCACAGAAAGATGATTGTAGGAAGAGAAACGCTGATCGACCTTTTCTGCCTAAGAGAAGCCCAAGAAACTGAGAGAGAGATAGCTTGAAGAGAGACTTTGCAAAGAAATCTGTCAGAGTGAGAGAGCTTCAAGCCTCGAAGAAAGAGAACACTAGGTGCAGCTGAGGAGATGTGGGTAATGTTATATAACTAGATATCTTACTCCCGTTCTTTTTAAGTGAAAAGAGTTCTCCGTGTTTTCAAAGAGTGCGCCTTCTTGTTTCCGAAAACTCCCGGAACACTTTTTTATTGTTCTCCAAAAACTATAACTATCAGTTTTTAGTTTTTGCAAAAACTGTTTCCACAAAGTAGATCTAAGCAGAAGTAAATACTGTTTTCTATTTTTTGTCACTATAAAAACAAAACTATTTTCTTAGATTCAATCCAAGCAGGGCCAAAAACTCTTATCATTTACTGATAAAAATAAAAATTTATCATTTAAGGAAATTCTTGGTAGAACTGAGGCATCTTTCTAACCAAATTGAAATGGCTGATCTTTTTCTTTGTTTAACCAATTTATTCATTTATTATTTTTATCATTGACGACACCTCAATAATGGACCACACGACACACCACAGCTCATTATTGCAATTCTTTTTAGCAACGGATTTAGACCTCTTAACCATATTGCAAGTTGAACCTGTCCATTACATATATATATATATATATATATATATATATATCTATTACAAGTGACACCATTCTATACATAACAACTCTTTTCCCATGTCACTGGTCAAGGATGGTCCATCCTTTTATTGCTTGAATCTCTAATAAACACACCACCTCATTTGAGATGGTTCAATTCCTATTCTCAGCTCTTCAACCACATTGCATTAATGGGCTCTTCTTGTTTTACGCAAGCCTTGTGCAACCTTCTATTAGATCTTCTCAAAGACATTGTTTTGGTGGTACTCTCTTGTATCCCTCTTCTAAATAGATTATCACTATCCGAGAAACAAACCAATATGCATTCTGTTGCAGAATCTCGTCCATCTCCTTTGTTGATTCCGGTCCCTGTCCACTGTTGAGCGGAAGCGTGGGCCCAACAAATAAATAATGGTGGTTGTGATCACACACAAGAAGAATACACTCACAAAATAATAAATAAATAAATAGGAGAAAACACACACACAAAAGGAAGACAAAGATTTACGTGGTTCGGCAATGTGCGCCTACGTCCACGGGAGCTCAAGATCAATGTACTAATATCAAAACCCAAAGAGTTACAAAAGGCTCACAAATGAGAAAATAAATATTATTTTCTCCAAACTCTCTTTGCTCACTTGAATGCTCTTGGATGATTTTCGAATGAATGAAACTATGAGATACAAGGTCTATTTATAGCCAACAAATCTCCCTGATGATGTAAGCAATGATGTAAGCAAAGCCTGATGTAAGCGATGACATATGCAAAGCCTGAGGTAAGCGATGACATATGCAACTGCTGATGTAAGCGATGATATATGCAACTGATGATGTAAGCGATGACATATTTTGAGCCAATTCCAAATTTGAAACTCCAAATTTGTCAACAATCTCCACCTTGGCGAAAAATTCTGTACACCTTTTCAAATATGATCTTGAACTGCCTCCAATTGCGCCCAAAGGCCCTTATACTTGCAGGATGTTAATCAAGTCTAAGCAATGCTCAAACTTGACCTTTGTTACAACCTTCGTCAACATATCTGCGGGATTATCTGCAGTCCCAATCTTCTGAAGAAGAATATCGCCTTCATCCATTTCACGAATAAAATGGAAACGGACATCGATGTGTTTTGTACGTGAATGATGAACCTGGTTCTTTGCCAAATAAATAGCACTTTGACTATCGCAGTAGACATCAACATGCTCCTGAAGAATCCCTAAGTCCTCAATCAACCCATGTAGCCATACAGCTTCCTTAATGGCCTCTGTTACTGCCATGTACTCTGCCTCTGTTGTAGACAAAGCAACTGTAGGCTGTAATAGTGACCTCCAACTCATTGGTCCTTTAGCAAGTGTGAACACATAACCTGTAGTTGACTGATGTTTATCCAAATCACCAGCATAGTCCGAATCCACATATCCAACCAAATGCTGACCAAGTCTATCATCCCGCTCAAATTTTAAACCAACATCTACAGTACCATGGATGTACCGTAGAATTCATTTCATTGCCTGCCAATGAACTTTACTTGGGTCATGCATATACTGCTCACCATACTAATGGCCTGTGAAATGTCTGGTCTCGTACACACCATTGCATACATTAAACTTCCAACTGCGCTCGCATATGGAATATGAGCCATTTGCGCACGCTCTTCATCTGTGCGTGGAGATAATGAAGCACAAATCTTAAAATGAGGAGCCAAAGGGGTACTTACAGGTTTAGTATTTGAGTCCATACCAAACTGATGTAGCACCTTCTTCAAATATTGCTTCTGAGACAAACAAATAGTGCCCTTCATTCTATCTCTTCTAATCTCCATCCCAAGTATCTTCTTAGCTTCACTAAGATCCTTCATTTCGAACTCAGTACTTAACTGAATCTTTAACTTATCAATTTCAACTTTGCTCTTAGATGCAATCAACATATCATCAATATATAAGAGCAAATATATAAATGATCCATCACGAAGCTTACGAAAATACACACAATGATCAAAATGGCTTCTTATATACTATTGCCCTTTCATGAACTGATCAAATCGTTTGTACCACTGCCTTGGACTTTGTTTCAACCCATACAATGACTTTTTCAGTTTGCAAACCCAATTTTCCTTACCAGCAACCTTGAATCCGTGTGGTTGAGATATATAGATCTCCTCCTCCAAATCTCCGTGTAAGAAGGCAGTTTTGACGTCGAGTTGAGCTAACTCGAGGTCAAACTGTGCAACCAAAGCTAGTAAAATTCGAATAGAAGAGTGTTTTACAACAGGTGAAAATACCTCATTATAATCAATCCCTTCCCTTTGCACGTAGCCTTTCGCCACCAATCTAGCCTTAAATCTCACACTGTCTTGCCCTGAAGAACCTTCCTTCTTGGAGTATACCCACTTGCACCCAATCGCCATCTTCTCCTTTGGAAGCTGGACCAACTTCCAAGTTTGATTCGTATGAAGAGACCGTATCTCCTCGTCCATTGCTTTCTTCCAATCTATACTTTTTGAACTTCTGACAACTTCTGCATAGGTAAATGGGATGTCATCATCAACTATGGGTAGTGCGTATGCCACCATATCAGTAAACCGTGCAGGTTTCTTTATTTCTCTTTTTGATTTACTAATTGCAATAGAATATGGTTGCTGTGGAGACTCTTGGGCAAGAGCTTCTTCCTCATCTGTACCTATTTCCTCATCATCTGAGTTACTGACAGGTCTAGCTGGAACAATTGGAGCCTCAAGCTCTACCTGCTGCAAAACTTCTTTGGTTATGTTCTTTATAGAAGAACTTTTCAACATAGAAGACTCATCGAATGTAACATCCTTGCTATTAATGATTTTCTTCAACTCGGGACACCAAAGTCTATTCCCTTTTACGCCTTCACTATAGCCTAAGAATATAGCTTTCTTGGCTCTAGGATCCAACTTACTCTCTTTAACATGAAAATAGGCAGTACAACCAAAAATTCGCAGAAAATCATAATCGGTAGCAGGTTTTCCAGACCATACCTCCATGGGCGTTTTGCCCTCATTCGTAGTTGTAGGAAACCTGTTAATGAGATGGCATGCGTATGTCATAGCCTCAGCCCAAAATGCTTTGCCCAATCCAGCATTGGATAATATACATCTAACCTTTTCTAACAAGGTTCGATTCATGCGTTCTGCCACCCCATTCTGTTGTGGCATGTCTCTGACTGTAAAGTGTCGAACAATACCCTCGTCCTGGCATACTTACAAGAATGGGTCCGATGTGTATTCACGGCCATTATCGGATCTGAGTCTTTTGATTTTTCTACTAGTCTGGGTCTCCATCATCTTCTTCCATTTCAAGAACAATTTTAAGACTTCATCTTTATGTTTCATGATGTACACCCATACTCGTCTAGAGAAGTCATCAACAAATGAAACAAACCAATGCTTACCTCCCAAAGATGCAACTCTAGTAGGTCCCCAAACATCTGTGTGAACATAGTCAAGTATTCCCTTCGTGCAATTTTAGACCGGCCTCTTAGACCTTCTCAGCTCTGATTTTCATTCCCGGAAATTTCCATTGCTTTCTAGCAATTTCATAGGATCTTTGGCATGCAACTCATGTGCACAACCTCTCATTTTCAATGCATTGTTGGATCATGGTTCCCCAAAATTTTCCATACATTGGAGATGAAGTGCAAGGTTTAAAAAAAATTTCCTACATTCATCCATGCATTTGAAGAGACCAAATCCCATCCATGCATTGAAGAGATGTTCCAAGGTTTAAAAATTTTCTCAAAATCATCCATGCATTGTGTGAGGTTGCAAAAGTTGAGAAATCTTCTTGAAATCATCCATGCACTCATTGAAAATTTTTTTTTGCACAATTTGAAAAATTTTCTAAATTTTCCATGCATTGCAATGAAGTGCAGAGTTTGACAATTTTCCTTCCTTGCATTAGAATAGATTGAAGTTCAAAAGTTTGAACATTGTCCATGCATTAGAAAGAAGTTGAAAAGTTTTCAAAATTTTCCATCCATGCATTACATTGGAATGAATTTGCAAAGTTTTAAAAATTTTTCTGAAATTTAATTCATGCATTGTGTGATGTTGCAAAGGTTTAAAAATTTTCCTATATTCATCCGTGCATTGGAAATGTGTTGCATTTTGAAAATTTCTCCAATTTGATTCATGCATTAGCATGATGTTGCAAAGTTTGACACATTTGTTTCAGCAATTGCATCCATTCAAAATGCTCACTGGGCCAAGATTCTAGTGCTCGAATGATCTAACCAAAATTCCATGAGCTACTGCCCATTTTTGGAGCACTCTAGCTTCCATTTGGATTGCTCCAAATTACCACACCAATTTTGCTTGCCCACTGCCCAAGTTTGGAGCGCTCTAGCTTCCATTTGGATTGCTCCAAACTTCTCCACCGTCATTCCGAGGCTGCTGCTTGTATTTAGAGCACTCTAATTCCATTTTAGAGTGCTCTAAATGTGAACCAATCTCATCCCAAGCTACTGCCTTCATTTAGAGCACTCTAGCTCCCATTTGGAGTGCTCTAAATGTGAACCATCAATCCCAAGCTCACTGCCTTCATTTAGAGTGCTCTAAATTTTCAGCCCAACATCCCGCAACCACTGTCTCCAATTCGAGCACTCGAAGGCCAAGCTTTGAGTGCTCGCAGCTGCTATCCCACTGCAACCCAACATACCGAACTCTCTATCTTCAAATCGAGCACTCGAAATCCCATTTCAAGTGCTCGAAATCCCTTCCACCAAGCCAACCCACAACCCCTTCACCTCACTACCTCTCTCACTCTCGGCAACCCAGCAACCACCACGCATCCATCTTCACCCTCCACCATGCAGCTTCCCTCCCTCACTCACTGCCTGTCTTTCGAGCACTCGAAGAACCCATTTCGAGGGCTCGAAATTCTTACCACCATCAATCCGAGGCCTCCAACTCCATGCCCCAACCCTCTCTCTCTCGGCATCTTCCCTCTCCACCATGCAGCACCATGAAACCAACTTCCTCCCATGCATTCCAGAACCACCTCTTCACCTCCCCGGCAACGGCGCCAAAAATTGATCGGTTAGTCAATTAAACATCAACCTTCGCAATAGCACGAATCATTGTAAAATAGGGCTATTGGACGGGTAAGTCGAACCACTGGGACTGCGCTAATCTATGGCAACCTAAGTGTCTAGAGTCATTTTAGAGTGATAAGGGGTGTTCATAGAGGGTTTGTTTTGTTTGTCACTAAACTACAAATTCAGAATGCATAAAACAATAAATTGAAGGAGATTAAAAGAGAAGATTTAGAGAAGGAAGTCTAGGGAAGTGAATCCACTCCAAACCTTTACACAAGCTAATTATATGATTGATTTGGGGAATTAATGTAGAAATGACCTTGATGAATAGCAATTCATGACTACTATAACATCTTCAAGAAATTCAATTAATTAAAATGTAAGAACGACCTATCAAAGCTCCGCATGCTTAAATTACCTAAACTATGGTGCAATCCTCATCATGCTCACTAAGCTAGAGATTGTCAAACAAGTAATCAATTGATGAGAGCACATGATAACAAGTCACAAGGTTAATCCATCAAAAGAAATTCTTAAGCAATGAATTAACAAGCTACTCAAAATCATGCCATTAAAACCATTCCATA